CTAACCATTCTATGATTCTATGAAATAATTTCTATGTTCAGCAAAAATGCTGACATGACTCCACAAAGCACAAATCCAATATATTCAAGCAGCAAGGAACACAAAATATTCCTTTACCAGAACTATCCAGAAGTCTACTGACCTGGAAAAGGGAGATAAGTAACTGGCTACTGTATAGAATCAGCTAACAAAGCCAGAAAATAAAATACAGATAATACAAAACTATCTTCAAAAGAGGGAAAAAAAAATTATGAAAATGAAAGTCTAATTTGTTTGCTACTATTTAAAGAGAAATTAACACTTGTGTTTATCTTGCTTACTTCATTCTCTGTTCTTACCTTGCTACAATGGACGTCCAGCTTTTGCTGTCAGCACCGTCAAATTGGTCCTCAGACAAATTTAGCCTCTTAGTGGTTTCCTCCAGCCGTGCAGTTATCTTCTCATTTATTATCTCCAAGTTATTCTTTGCTATTCGTAGCTTCTCTCCACTGTCAGCTTCCTATTGTTCAATAAAAACAGAAGTTTATGGAATACTTAACCTCACATGAAGCACAGGATTATCTAAAATGATGGTGAGACAGGGTCAGTGCTGATTTGGAGGAAATCAGTGCATCCCAGGTCTCTAGCGCTACAACTTCCAAATTCTGTCTTGGGCTACTTCTTCGAAGTTTCCTCTCCACATACAATTAACAAGACTGTCATAGCAATTTCAGTGCTTAGAAAAGTGTCCATTCCGTATCAACCAAAACAAAACAAAAAAAAAAGATATCTACCACAACAAGTAACTCATGGAAATAAAGGGATATATTACAATGATTATACCTTTTTCAGTTCTTTATGCAGCCTCTCATTTTCAGTAATTAGTTTTTCCATTCCTTTTGTTTTAGATTCATAATGCATATTCAGCTGACCCTCCAGGCGAAGTTTCATTTTTTCCATTTCAGACTAAATATCAAACAGGTTGTTAAAACACTTCTACATTGCTTAGTAGAAAACTGCAGATTTCCTTTTTTAAAGTACAACATAGTTACAGAAACCTAGCACAGTGAACATAACATTTCATCACATATTTAAATATATCCTTAAGGTACAGAGTACTTTTACATAAGTCACGCAGTATGTCATGCTAACATGAAGTTTTGCTTTTGTGTTCAACATGTTTCATATTTGGTACTTTTAAAACACTTTTGTGCCCATCAACGTCAACAACAGGTTTGCTGCTCCATTTTCCTACTAACTTTCATATAAACTGCTATCTAGATACAGTTATTGGAGATGAAAATCAGTACCTTTAGCCTCTCATTTTCCTGTTCAAGACTAAGTAATTTCTCATTAGAAACCACAGCTGGAGCTTTTTTCAGATCTTCATTTTCTCTTTGGACTCTCTCTACAACCTTTTTCATCAAACCAATTGTTTTTTCCAGTTCTTGGACTGTCTTTCCACTTCTTCCAGCCTATAGAGAGGGAAGCAAAAAAAGTAAAAGGAAGTAAACAGTTCATGCTAACATTCTGAGATACTCCAAATCTTACTTTATCCCTTATTTTCCCACTGCAGTATAAAAAAGATGTTATATTTTGCTGTGACTTGAACCCTGAAGTTTCCTGCATACTTAGCTCCCAACAATGTCTATTGATATATTAATTGCAAAAGTCAACACATCAGCTCCTTCATTTTCTGTGTTACCCAAGCTGCAGTTTGTCTGAAAATCTGCAGTACTTTATGAACTAAACTGAAACACTATGAAAATAAATCAAAGTAGTACTTTTTTTTTTTAAGCTTTTCTTGTAGAGCAATTCCCTGATCCAACAGATCATGCACTTGCTTGAATGCAGCGTAGAGTCTGAGGGGAAAAAAAAAACAAACAAAAGAACGGCTGGGAGCGTGAGGGAGGAAAAGAGGGCCCTTTTTTTAGCAACCATACTTCTGCTGGATTAAAGTGTCAGAAGAACTACATCTTAAAGAATGAGTAAATCTTCTGCCTTTCCCAAGGCATTTATTCTCCTCACAGAATGCTAAATAAATAAATAAATAAAGAAAGAAAGAAAAGCTTGTAATTTCTCGTCTTGTTTTACTACATTCATTTATGAGGTAGAAAAGCTGTTAAAGGGTGTTCAAATGCATTTATTTTCTCTTCATCTTTGTAGTGACTGTTTTCCTCAGCAATAATAATTTAAAGATGCTGCTGTTTCTAGTTCTGGGCCCATGAAGTATCCCCTTTTCTTTCTACAGAAGTAAGAACCACAGTACAGTGGAAAATGGAGAAGATTTTACTTGCCTACACAAACCTAAATAGTAACCAAGTTTTGGAAGTAAAAATGACTTATTCCTTCTTCTCTAAAACAACTGGAGGGATTAGGAGACTTGTGTTGGTACACAGCAGAGTTAAAGAAAAACCTGTCACGTCTTAGTGTCTGAAAAGGGAGAAAGTTTCCAAATTTGCTGCCTCCTCAAAACATTTGCATGAAACAGTTTAATAAACGGAATTACCTTATCCAAAAACTAGCACCGTGTAAGAGATAGGCAGATACACCAATGGTCCATGCAAGGTACAAGTAAAAGAATGGGAAATGTACAATGTTTTCCAGGAACCCAGAAGCAGAACTCATTTTCCTTCTATACTTGAAAGAGCTACGAAGGCTCTTAGGAGTTTTTACTAAGTTAGCTTCCTTTAAAAGGTAACAGAAATAGTTTGACAAGTTAGTGGCAAGAGAAATACTGGGCACTGCTGAAGCCTTTTTTCCCTGTAACTTAGAATAAGCAAGCAAGAACAATTCCTGTTTGCTTTTGCTTGATTCCAAATAATTTAGCTTTAAAAAAATATTGCTTTATTCACATTTTGTTTTAATTTAATTTTGATGACAAATGCTGTTACAATACTCACCCCTCTAATGTTGTCCAGCTTTCGTTCAACATCTGCTTTCTCTTTTTTGAGAAGTTCACACATTTCTTTTAAGTCACCTACTTGGTCCTAAAAAAACAAAGTAATAAGAAACTTATTTAGATTTCAAATTGAAGTGAACAGTAATGAAATTACAGTTAATTTACTTTGAAAAATATATAGACAAAGCAATTTCCCATTGTAATGACATTTTTCCTCACTTCTACCAGCCATTCAACCTTCTCATCTTCCATAAAAACATGAAAAACTTACAGTATGTACAGAAAAGATATAAATTTATTTTTAAGCAATCCCCTAAGCTGTGGCAAGTTAAAGAGGGCTAGAGGTAAAAAGATGTTACCTTTAGTCTTGGCAAATCTTTATTGGCCTGCTCTAGCTGGAATCTTAGGTCAACGTTTTCAGATGACAATCTTAAATTTTCCATTAAAGCCTCTCGTTCTCTTCGATATTGATCATCTGATCCTCTTCCTGATGTCTTGAGAAAAAAGAGGGGAAAAAATTATTATTAAGTGGCAATGCACTATTCATTGTGTCAGTTGTAGCTGATAAAGAGCAACAGAGAATTGGCATTTTTCACAGAAATAAAACAGATGACAGTTGTATCACCAGTTTTGATCTAATCTGTTCTGACTTTAGCTCCTTCTCTTACATTTTCTAAACTTGCTTAACCTTTAAGAGACGTTTACAAATCAGTATAACCCAGTAAAAATTCTGTGAAACCAAAATTAATTCTCAAACTATTGAGTAGAAATAAATCTCAAAGTCTAAAAGACAAAAAAGCTACTGGGCGGAGTAAGCTGTGACACTGTACCTGGGAACAGCATCTAATTTTAAGGTCATATTCTAACAGGTTTATTAAATACTACATATGGCATAAGGAGTTTCCCTTAAGTCAACACACTGCATGACAGAGCAAGTCAGGAAGAGTAGTATATAGTTCTTAGTCTGTTATTTCCTATAATCTTAAGTCCTTATCCTTCAAGGCTAGTAATTTCTATTACAGAAAGAGTGCTTTGCATGCCTTATATTGCCAATTCCAATCATAAGTACATGGTAAATTATTATGCCTGACTAGTAAAGAGTAAAACCCTTTGATGATATAATAATCAGCAGGTTTTACTTATGTAATTATGGAATTAACCATATGACCTGTTAACTCATCACTAATAATGACAGAATGAAGTATTTGTTTCAATAAAGTATATTTTTCTTAGTGTAAGTAATAACACATCGTAAGTCTCTTAAAGAATGAAGGTCAACTAGCTGCATGTATCATTGTGATTATTTGTAAACTTTCTGGATCAAAATTTTGGAATAGACAGGAGCTTACTTGTGAGCTGACATGGATGCCTATCATGAAAGCGTAAGGTTTGCTTTATGGACCACTTGGTAACTACTTCAATATCCCTGCAAACGATGCATAGGAAACCACTGCATTATCACGACCAAACTATTCTACTGCTACATCATTTATACAGAAGAAATGCTAGAGGACTGCTACAGTATCAAACCTCGGGCATTTCACTAAATTCTGGGGTTGTTTCAACTACCTCTGTACCACTCCGGCAAATTTCATGTTTATCCTTTGCAGTGTGTTGATTCATTTCATTATTCACATTTATTTTTTCTGCTTCATAGTCATTAGCTTGATTAGAAGATTCCCCTGAATCAGACTGATTGCAGCTCATTCTGTCAGTATAAGGCTCTTCTACACCTTCTTCTTCATCAACATTTGATTGCTTAAGTATTTCTTGCTTCCTCTCCTCTTCAAATTCCTCATTAAGTTTTCCATTTCCAGGCTGGGTTATACTTTCTTCTTTTTCACTACTGTTCTTTTCACCAGCTTCAGCTATATTTTTGTTTTTCAGTCCTTCTCTAGAAGTATCTGTGTCCTTACATTTCTCACTATCATCAGGATGCTGTTCAGGAGACACTTCTGTGCTTGCATCCACAGTAGCCTCATGGCCTTCATTATGCACAATGCATGTTTGCATGTCTGCTTCCTCATCTATGTCATTGCCATCAGCAATGCTATGATTAGTCTGATGTTTGATTTCATCCCTATTTGAAATAGATTTCTTTTGAAGGGAATTCATATACTTTTGTTTACTGATACTGATAGGAACAGCCTTGGTCAGTTCAGTTTGGTCACATGTACTCTGATTCAAGTTGAAGATAGAATGAAGCATGAAAGAAAAGCAGAAGAGAGTAAAACAAAACAGGAAATAAAGAAACTCTGAAAGTACTGTTAAATCTATTTCTTGAAAGATTAAGATAACCTAATAATGCAATATTTGCAATATAATGGACCTTGTAAAAATCAAAACACTACAAAAACACCTCATGTTAACTGAAATGCAGCTATTTCTGCAGACACTGCATCCCAAATTTTCAATCAATATGGTATATAAAAGTAGTCTCTCAGTTGCAAACTCATATATTTAAAATTACATATCCCTTATTTCTCCACGTATGCTAGGAAGTTGAATATTTCAGCTTCTACCTGTCAAACACAGAAACTGTGAGTTTGGGGTTTTTGGGTTTTCCTGTTTTGGTTTGGGTTTTGGTTTTTGTTTTTTTGTTGTTTTTTTTTGTTTGTTTGTTTGTTTTTAAAAAAAAACACTAAAAGCTCAGTAGTTCATATCCTCTTGTAGAATACTATCAGTTGAAATGAAGTCAGCTAAATGTCACAGAATACCAAGTGGATAACAAATATTTTTGTTAAGCAGGTGCAATTTCTCTAGGTAATATGGTTACATTATTAACTTACCAAAGGTCCAGAATATGTCACTCTCGAATACTGTCTCTCCAATGCATGAAGCTTTTCCTGGAGGAATTGATTTTTTAAACTTAATTCTTCTACAACAGAATCTCGTGGGATTGCTTGCTGTGTTCTACATCAAAAAATGAATCAAGCCAAAGCAAACAAATGGTTATTAATGCATAAAAACATCCCTTAATGTAAAACAAACATGAACTTCTGGATTACTAGACTGGATTTCCTAATATTACTGGGGTAGTTAGTCTAAATTAATGTCAGCCATATACACTATTTAAACTAATCCCCATGAATCAAAAGTGCTTCATTTGACAAAAGGAATCCGCTCTTTTTAGATGTGTACAGCTTCTATTACTTAGGTACACTATCCACTGTGATAGTGTAACTAAGTAATAGTTAAGACACTCCCAAACTGCAACTTAACAGTTCCAGTAACTTTCACCAACTCTAAACTGTAATTATAATTTTACACAATAGGAGCCAGATCATATTTCACAAGTTTTTAATATTATTTTGTTTTTAGAATAATGAACCAGTACTGCACATTCTCTGAGCATGCACAATTGCTCCCAAGCAGCTTTAAGTTCGCTCATCACAGACTCAAAGAAGGATTCTTGAAATTCGCATCTGTTTTTTTCCTTATTTAATCAGTGGGTCTAATAGAGACTATCTATCTATTATTGCACGGGGAAGTTGTGGATGCCCCATCCCTGGAGGTGTTCAAGGCCAGGCTGGATGAGGCTTTGAGCAACCTGGTCTAGTGGAAGGTGTCCCTGCCCATGGCAGGGGGATTGGAACTCAATGATCTTTAAGGTCCCTTCCAACCCAAACCATTCTGTGATTCTGTGATCTTCTTCCACAGATTTTTTTTCTCATTTAGATTTTTTCATTTTTCTAGATGCTTCTGAAATGCCTCTCACCTCATGTGAGCAACTTCATTTTCTAAATCTGAATTCCGTTTTCTTAGTTCTTCCAGTTCTTTTTCAGTCTCTGAGGCTTTTACTCCAACAACATGGTCAACAGTGACACCAGCTTTTTTCAGTTTCTTCTGTAGAGCAATTTTCTCTTTTTCAGTCCTGCAACAACCAGTAAATTTACATGTATTTGGTAACTTGCTTTCTTTAGGAGAAAATATTTTCTGTCTTAAAGAATCCATATTTGCAACTTATTTGCTTACTGAACCACACTACCTTTTCTGTTCAATAAGGTTACGTTATAGACAGTACAGCTTTAACAAAAAAGAAAAAAAAAACAAACCTGGAAAAAACCATGAACATTAAGTCAGTATCATCCATGTCATAAACCACTTGCTGGTCTTGTCTGTGTTTTATGTGAAATTTGTTTAAGACTTGCTAAGAATAAATGCCATTTTGAAGCAGTTTCAAACCACAGTCTAAGAACAGCTACAATCACAATCACAGTTTCCTTTCTCTTCTGCATCTTTTATCAGTAAATCACTGTCATTACTGTACTGAAGTAAACATAATATTTGCATGTGTTTTTTTTTAAAAGGCTTCCACCTCATAATCCTAGAACTGACAGTGCTGCAGTAACACTACATATAACAGGAGCACAGCATCCAATCTGAGCAATCTGATTAAATAACACGGGAGTGAGAAATAGCCTGTCTTCAGAAAGCTGTTATTTGTTTCATGGGAATAATAGAATGGTATATACAAGAAGCATAATAAAGGACTTAAATTAGTTTTATTCAGAGACAGTTTCTTCTAATAAAGGTGGTTGGCTTCTACAAGGGAAAGGATACTAGAGGAGTAACCTGCTGCTTGAAAATGAACTAATCCTTTTAATCTCAATAGCGATGTCAAATTCTAGATATCAGTCTTATAAATATAACAAACTGTTTTAATTATTACGTGGCAAATATATTTGGATTTCCCTTACGTCCTCATTTTGTAGCTGAATCTATTAAAAACAACTCACTTGGTATAAATTTCCTTCAATGTATTCAACTGTTTGGCTAAAGCATCTGCTTCTTTTTCCTTTTCTTTCAGTTTGTTCCGCAATCCTTCCATTCTGATTTGCCATTTTTTACCTTCTTCCCATTGAATTATTTCCTTCTTGGAAGTCTGTGAAGCACATAAATATATTATGTATTTCTTTTTGAATTCTTTTCCTTAAAGCAAAATAAGCAAACACATTAGAAAACCAAGAATGATGTATTCTTCATTTATCAATTTAAAACATGAAGCCATCGCAGACATATATTAATTTACCTTATTTACCATAAGGTGAATAGCAGGCCCAGATGGATAACTTAAGAAACCTGTAGTGACTATTGTATAAAGCTGATGCAGTTTAATGCTATTACCAAATTCTTCCTTAGCTTTTAATACTCATTTTATAAAAAAGGAGTGCCACATTTTATGAACTTAGAGGTGCTAGTGCAATGTATCCTTTTACTTTGCATTGCACGTTAGGAAAGATGACCAATTAAAGAAAATGAAGTGTTTGTCTATGCCAATTTACAGTAGATCTGTCTTCTGCAGCTCACCAGGAGTTTACATGCCCCTGCTGCACATCTGTAAAATTGGTCATTTTAGTTTAGTTTTTCCTATGAGAAATGGAATCTGTACTTAAAGGTACAATTCAGTAACTAGAAATTATACATCAGTCAGACCCTGTACGTATGTGATCACAAATGGCTACTGAAAAATTACAGTTAATATTTCTGTAAGCAATTTTTTTTGTTTTTTAATTGAACTTTTCCCTTCTCCAGTTAGCCCCTCTCCTTTCTTTTCTGTCTTCACTGTACAGTTACTGCTAAGGGACAGACAGAAAGCAAAATCTTGTGAAGAGGAGAAAACATGCCAAACTGCATAAAGATATCTCTAGACATCATGGAACAGGTATTTAAAAAGTCTCAAATTAATTGGAAGCATAAGTGGAGTCCTAGAATAATATTTAAGATCATAAATAGTCTGAATGCCATTATACAAGCATGCTATATTTTCCAGTATACTTTATGATTACTATGACAAGCCACTAATTAGTTACTGAAGTAGTAAAATAACAGGCAAAACCAAACAACTGGTAAAATGAACACATCTCCAATTGCTCAGAACCTCTTGTACGTGGAGAGCACTACTGTGAAGAATAGTCACTTATATAGACATTATCCCTTTTAGGATTCACACTTTTGCTCCTAAATATATCACGGTTTTATCATTGCATTGATTTCACAAATGCAAATTTGGCAGCACACAGGTAATCAATTTCACTGCTAACTATAAAATCTTAGTCTTCTAAGATTTCTAATGGATCTTTAATTCTATAAAAAGGGCAGGAAACAAATGTATCAGTACTAAGCAACAAGAGTGGTAACAAAGAGCATGGGGAACATGAAGAAGTTAGTCATGAAACTTCTTTTCTTCTGAGAGCTGAACTGCCTACACCTACGCTGATGATGTCTTTCATAGCCACAACTGAAATATCACATACCTTGTCTTCTCTTAAATATTTTTTTTCTGTTTCTCCACACTTCTTCTCAAGTTCACTTTCCAACTTTTTAATTTTTTTCTGAAGTGCATCTATCAGATTTTTTTCATCAGCTTTGCTCTGAAAAATTACAGACTTTCACAACCTTAAAGTTTAATGACCACTACCTAAGTATTCTCCTCTACTCAAAAAATAAAGACTCTAATTCCAACTGGCAGAATTAGTTTACAACTTAAATGACCTTTTAAAAGTTCTCTTTAACTTATTGAAGTATTGGAATGTAACTTTGCATTCTAAACTGAATAATAATCAGCAAGTAGCTGAATTTAAAAAAAAAAAAAAAAAAAGAGATTTCCACTGTAAATCCTTTACTTTTCTTCTGAAAGGGGAAATAAGGACAGCCAGGAAGATCACAAAATTCAATTTTTCAAAGAAGGTGGTAATTCAACTCTTCAGACTCTTTCAAACTTATTTCAAGAGGCAAGTACTTTTCAGTCATTTCCTTTTATTTGATGCATGCTTCCAACAGCAAAAGCTAAGAGCTCACATGTAATGCAGCTGATAAATTTTTAAATCAAGCGTAAGTCTCAATGCCTGCCAAAACTACTTAATCTTTCCCCCCAAACCCAGCACATCTATGCAGAAACTTGACCAAGATTGAACATGTTTTCAAAAATCACATCTACCTGAATGCCCCTGCTTAGCCTCCTAATTCGTTTCTTCAGTTCTTCATTTTCTTTTTCCATTTCATTTTTTTCTCTCAGCATTTTAGCAAATGCTTTTTCTTTTCTCTGGAGTTCTTGGTTAAGCTCGTCCCTTTCATCAGACAAAGAATTTTCCCTTGTTTTACTTATTTTAAGGTTATCTGTAAGTTTTGTAATCTGATTATTTAATTCCTCTATCTGTGTCTAGAAGAAAACAAACAAACAAATAAACCAGCAAACCCATAAAATCAGGATTAGCAACAATACAACAATGCGATACAATGATATTACCTAGTACTCACCATAAGCCCCTTTGTTTGTTTGTCAACAATCTCCTGGACATTCATATATGCCTCTTTTTGTGATGCAGCAGAAATAATCTGCTGTTCAGCATTAGCGGTCATTTCTGCTCGCAGTACCAGAATTGCTGTACTCAAAGCCTGAAAATAATAAATTCAAGTTCTTCTAAGTGAAGAAGCTGCTAATGTGAACGTTACAAAACAACAGAAGGCAATTATATTTTACTATGTTATGCAATTATTTTCTACCTCATGCTGTACTATACATATAATTCTTAAGCATTAAGCAACATTAAACATTTATGTGATATAGGGATTAAATTTTGCTGACTAACTTTCTTCTGTTTCTCTTTTATCGCTAAGTGTCTCTTCAGGTGTTCCACCAGGTTTTTCATTGTTGCTGTGGGTGCTCTATTATTTGCTTCTTTTTGGATCTCTAGTTCAGCTTTTACATTTGCTAATTCCTTCTCCATCTGAGATAACGTGTTCCTCAATTCATCTGCTTCATCTTTTAGTTGTTCCACATCAGCTGTGTGCTTTTCCTGAAGCCTAATAAAAAATAACTATTAATAGGGTACACTGCAATAGTTCAGCTCCAAATAACAAAGGGCACTATGTTATATTTTTTACTATTGTTAAAGAAAATGACACATTGATTTGGAAACAGCAAAAAAGACTGATTCAACAAAGATGACCTCCATTTAATAAGAAAATTTCTCAAGAGAATTAGCAAAATGAGATTAAAGCATTGTTCATTATAATTCCTGGCCCTAACATGTAAAGAAAACATCACACTTTTCTCCTTGTAAACAGGGGTTAAATTTTCATGACTTTAAACTTGTTAGGCAGCAAGCTCAAATGGATGCATCGGGGGAAAAAGCCCCAAAATACAAACTAGCAAGTATCACAGCAGCTTAAAGACAACTTTCACACCAAGACTCATTGAGTATTTTTCACTGAATGGCACAAAGCTAAAAACGGAAAGGCATTTTTCCAAGCCTAAATGAAGGGTTACAGATTAAAAATAATTTACAGTTACCAACCACAGTAACTCTTCTGAGTTACTTTTTTCAGCCAAATCTTAAATTCAGCAAAAACAGGTTCAATTTGATAGTACTGTAGCAGCAATACATAATTGTTTTGATCCAATACAGCTGTGACTTGTGTTAACATTCTAAAAACTTACTGGGCTCTGGTAGCCTCAAACTCTTCAATTTTCATTAGAGTAATTCTTTTTTGTTTCTCCAAATCAGATGATGTTTTCTTTAATTTTTCAACAAGTGAAGCAAGAGACTTATCCTGTTCCGCCACAGTTTGCTCCATTTCAGCTAAGCGGATAAAATGTTTGTCATTGGAATGTGATAAAGAAGTATTTTTCATTAACTCCTGTAAAACAGAACACATGCATGTGATAAACACTTCAAGCTTCAGATCAAAGGTAAACATTAGTAATGCATTTTAAACTCAATCCTGAATATAATGAAGCATTAATATCTAATGTTTATTTACTGAGATGTGATTCTTAGTTTGCAGAGAAAGCAGTCACACCAGTTTGAAAAGAGCTTTGTGCATCTAATGATCCACAGAATAACCAGTTAAATGCAGGTTTCACACTATCATAAAACGTCAAGAGAAAATTTGTATTGAAACAGGTTAGTTTAACATAACCACAGACTGAATGAAAAACAAAATATACCTCTCTCTCCTAGAAGTCTCCATAAATAAGTATGATATGAAAAATGCCCATATATACTGAGGTGGTGACTTTGTTTTCTTACACTTGACATCTAATCCATCTCTTGTGCATTCTCTCAAGAATAATACAATAATTTTGTATCAACCATCCATTTATTTTTCCTGTCATAATTTATTACTTACTTTTGACTGGAAAACTGTTCTTTTGAGCAACCATTTTAAAATTTTGGGAACAACTTCACTAATCCCACAAATACACATAACTCACCAAAGCACTCTGTTCGAATTTATTAAGGGAATTGTCAGTACGTAAATTTAACTTCTGCTGTAGAACTTTAAGGTCTTCCTCATGCTTCTTTGCCATTTCCTCTTGTTCCTGTTTGTTCAAAATAAATACATAACTCCACAGATGCACACTATCCCAGAAAGACATTGCTCAGTATTGCTCCCCAAATTTCCCACTAATTCTGGCAGTTTTACAAATTCTTTTCTTCTTGCTATAGTCAATTAACAGTTTTTTTCCTATTTAACACTGTCGGAAAAAAAAAAATCTACTACCGCAATTTTAAGCTACGTAGCAAGTAGTATGGTGCAACAGGAAAGGAGCTGGAGAGTAAAACAGCTGGTGTTGGTCTTCACCAACTATGACTATCAATATGGATAGTGATAGCCATCCTATGTATGTCTATTTACTTTGGACTATAGTGTGATCCCGTGGACTGAATGTCTACTAGCAGACAGAGCACAGTACACTCATGTTTAGTCTGCATCTTATGGTTTAGTTCCAAACAAAAAAAATTTATTTCTCCCAGAAGAAATAGCTACACATGTTAACCAAAACACACTAAGTGAAGGTAACAGGAAGTCTGCTTCGGAAATGTGCTCCTGATCCAAGCACACTAAAACTAGTGCATGTTTAGTCTCAAAGTACCTTTCAGACACAAGGTTTGTGCTTTAAAATATACTTTAAGGGTAAAAAGAATAAAGAATATAATACGCTTAAATAATGTAAAGTATGCTTAGTTACAAAGTTTATGCTTTAAAATATGCTTTAATTTAAAATATGCTTTAAGAAGGATATTTTCCATAAATGCATGTCTTTCCTGTAGCTTCCAAAGTCACTACAAGATCCAGTCCAGAGATTATTGCTGCAAGTACTGGAAAATTCCATATAAATATGCAATATACTGAGACCACTTCTCACAGCAAAATTTTAATTTACTTCTTGTTACACTAATGTAATTCCTAGACAGACATCATATACACAATCTAGTGACTGAGCAAGCCTCCTATTTTGAGAAGTTAAAAAATTCTACATGAACTTTCTACATTAAAAATTACTAATTGTCTCTGTTCTGTTACCTCTGAGGTCAGAAACTTTATAAGATTTCACTAGCAATGAGATAAACAAAGAATCAACTAAAACAACTTAAAAATTTAAGAATTTTATGCAAAAAGTTTAACTACCTCTCTTGCTTTAGCAAGCAAACCTTGGTACTTTTTTACCACTTCCTCCTTTTGATTTAATCTTGCTTTCATATTTGCAATGGTTATCTGAGCAATTTTTATGGCATGATGGTGCTCTGGATGATCTTCTTCTTTGCCTAATTCAGCCATTATTTCCTCTCTTTCCGGTGTTGAAGGTAATTGAAGTCTTAGTTCATTTATAACTTTGTCTCTTGATAAAACATTTTGTTCAGCTTCCCACAGAGCAGTTTCCTTTTCTTTTAATTTCTACAATGAAAGGCAATTGTTGCATTTCCAGAACTCAAACACTGCAAAAAGATCTTACTTTTAAAAAAATTGTACCAGAAAGATTTGTCTAAATGGACTTATAAACAGAAAATGTTTTGCACTCTGTTCTGGCTGTATGAGATTACTACTACATGAAAAAAGTCCCAGAATATCATTACAGCATTTTTATGTATTATTTGCTTAGCACAAGACACTGATGCAACGTATTTTGTGCTCCCAAATTAAGAAGATGATGGTTTTCAAATTTCTTAAGAACCACAAAATTTCTTCTGTAACAGAATTTCAGTTTAGCAATCCAAGATAAAAGGATTTTGCTACGCTACTTGTTAAATTTAATGTAACAATTGCTATATTTAACATAACACTTGCTAAATTTAACTAGCTATAGTCAACTGAATTTTGTACAGCAAAAGCATCCTACCCTACTAAATAAATGTTCTAAAATATTCAAAAATTTTCTCTAATAATTTATTCCAATGGAAAAAATATTTCATTTTAGTCATGGTGTGATTATATTATTTACATTTTCTCTGTGTTAAATACTTCTAAGGGATTGGGCACATTTGAGTGACATTTCTAAAAGGATATTTATTATAGAAAAAAAATTAAAGGGCTTAGAAATACGAACTTTGTCCCTTTTTATTACAATTTATGCATTTAATTACCTCCTCCAGTGATCTGCAGGTTGCCCTAGTTTCCAGGATTGTTTGAGTATGCTCCTGAATCTTTCTCAAAGCCAACTCAAGTTGTTGTGGAAGCGGCAAACTAGGGTCTGGAACTGATCCTGTAGCTTCTTTTAACTGCACAGAAAGATTAATGTTCATGTAATCTGACAGCTCCAAAAACAATGCTTATGAGTCTATTTTTAGTTAATTCAGTGCATGTACCTTTCGAGCTCCACTAAGTATTTCATTTTGTTGATGATCATACAGGTCTAATTGGCGCTGTAGTTCTACTTCCCTCTGGTCCCAAGCCATTTGCCTCTCTTGATGAAACTGTAACAAATGTTTGATAAAGGTATTTTATTTATTGAAGGCAATGGGAATTTTACAACCAATTTAAGGAGAAAAAAAAAAGATACCAAAATGTAAAATACTCAAATGTGTTATTAAAAAGAATTATAGAACCAAGATAGAAACATCTATGTCAAAAACCTACTAGGAAGAATCTTCCTTTATAAAATCACTTAGCGTAATAAGGAATAGGCTGTTTTTCCAACAGCATACAGAAATACATACCTTGTTCTGCTCTACAATTTCTTCTTCCAGATTACTGATTGTATGTTCATATTCGGAAACTACATTATGCAAATACTTCACCTCTTCCTTTTGCTTGACTAATTCTCGATTGAGTTTAAGTTCCTGCAGATGGAGTTCCTCTATCTTCACATGCCATTCAATGACCTAGTAATGAATGATATACAGTATTATATTTACCAAGTCCACAGGCCACCTAGATGCAGCTACTCTCTTTGAGGCAATATGGCACTTAACCAACCAACAGGAAGAAAGAGGTTCTGCCTTTTTAAGCTTCTTCACTTCTCTTGAGTGAGAAGGCATGGCAAGAGTATGGAAGTGCAAAAGGAGTGACTGAAAACTGCCGCAGACAACTGGAGAGGCAACAGGTTTCCCCTACACTGACAGAAGTGCATTGCAAATAGTTTTCAAATGACCTAAGGTATACCCTATGCATCTGTCCAGACTGAACAAAAAAAGAATGCAAGAAGTTTGGTTGACTTTTCTAAAACAGCAGAAGATTTTCAAAACCGTTACAAACTAGATGTATTCAAAAATGCACATGTACTAAGAATAACAGACATATGCAATGCAGGGATACAGGCTCTCTAGGAAGGACAGGCAGGGGAGATGAGGAGGGGGTATCACCCTCTACATCAAAAACCAGCAGGAGTGCCTGGAGCTCCACCTGGGGTCAGATGAGGAGCTTAAAGAGAGCTTATGGGTCAGGATCAAAGTGAGGTCAGGGACAGGTGACATTACAGTGGGGGTCTGCTACAGGTCACCCGACCAAGAACAAGTGGATGAAGCCCTCTATAGACAGAAGCAGCCTCACACTCACAAGCCCTGGTCCTCATGGGGGGATTTCAATCACCCTGATATCCGTTGCAGGAACAAGACAGCACAGCACAGGCAGGCCAGGAAGTTCCTGGAATGCGTTTATGACAACTTCCTTCTCCAACTGCCACAGGAGCCAATAAGGAGAGGTCTATGCTGGACCTTGTTCTCACCAACAAGGAAGGGCTGTTGGTGAATGTGGAACTCAAGGGCAGCCTGGGATGCAGTGACCATGAGATGGTGGAGTCCAAGATCCTCAGGGCAGTGAGGAGGGCGAACAGCAAACTCACTACTCTGGAATTCAGGAGAGCGGACTTTGGCCTCTTCAGGGATCTGCTTGGAAGAGTCCCATGGAATAAAGACCTGGAGGGAAGAGGGGTCCAGGCAAGCTGGTTGATATTCAAGGATCAATTCGTCCAAGCTCAGAGGAAGGCAGGCAAAAATGCCAGGAGGCCTATCCATCATATTTGAGAAGTTGTGGCAGTCTGGGGAAGTTCCCACTGACTGGAAAAGGGGAAACATAACCCCCATT